GTCACTAGGGTAGCCATACCATTTTTAATTTTTAAGTTCTCTGTTATGGTATATTTTGGAGACCAAAACCATAGATTGCCTGGAAATAGAGAAGTTTCTGGTGGATAGATGTCTGCCTGTTGGTGATTTTATTTCTTCCTCCTGCTTAAAACAGTGACGAGATCTAAGAGTAGTGTCTCAAGAAATTTTTTGGCTGACAGACAGTAGAGGTTCAGGAACAGGAAGGGGGCACTTGCACCCTGGTTCTTAGTCTCCTCTCTAAAGGCCTACTACTGTGTGTGATTGGACACAGGTTGCTAAAGGGCTTTTTCGATCTGAACCCGGGACTTCTGTAGTTCTTACAAAATAGATAACTGTCTTTGATGCGTAGTATACAAAAACCCTTCAGTCACCTTGGAAGCTTTAAGTTTTTAAGAAAGTGAATGGTGGGAAGGTTACCTGTCTCTGGAAGTATCCAGCAGGCAAGAAAAAATATTTTAATACAGTGTGTGACTTATGCATGTAAATCCTAAACAAATCCTGTTTTAGGGCCTTCAGATTTTTGGGAGAAGTGCAGGGGAAAAAGGGAGAAGGTTGTCTGCTGAATTGTGGGGTAGAATTAAATGACCTTCCCTAGTTGAACTAGCTGAAGAAACACTTTTTTTTTAATGTTCAGCAATTTGTAGAACAGCACAACTGATCATCTTCCCACCTATTAGCATAGACATAAATAAACCAAAATATATGCAGCACGTAGCAAATGAGGCTCTGTCCTTACTGAAATTATTTACTCAAATGATTTTTAAATAATGATAAATAGTTCTGATAAGGTGAACCTTTTTTTCGACGGAGTAAAATGAATATCAGAGTATGTAAAAAGTAGAGGTAGCCAGATGTTAGCACATGGTCAATTAAAAATTACAGAAATTACTTCTTTTGCTCAAAGCTGTTACAAAACATGATCTATGGAGAGAATACTGTTCTCAGACTGCTGTCTGTCTGAGAGGAGCATTTGGCATCTTCCAGGCCTGTACTCTGGACTGGCTTTAAATTGAGTGGGATGTCTGAAGTACACTAGGTCTAAGGACTGTGATGGAGGGTAATGTAAGAGTTAACTCCTACTGTTTGCACTACAAAAGTAGAAGCTTTGTCTAGGATATCTGTAGGACTCTGCAAGGCAGCAAACTATCAGCAGAATACAAGGAAATAGAAGGCTGATAGGCCTAATGAGGCCAAATTTGGCCTCGTTTTAAAATACTTCTGTAAAACAGTGTAAAACAGTGTTTACTGAATACATTAAAGTTCCTTCATTGAAGAACTTAATCAAATGAAGGCATAGCTTTTTGTTTGTAAACTGTGCACTAAATAACTTTTTTTGAAGTGAAGTATGGGACAGAGCATAAAAGTATTAAGCCTTTCTTTGTGACAGAGGTATCTGAGTGCATGTGGTTTCTTTCGATGTCTCAGTCCATCAGTGAGTTCTGGAATTCTGTGAAGGTCTTTTCTGTGTTGGAATAACATGCTTAAAAGACTAAAATGAAAGTAAAAGAAAGTTGTGTCTGTGAATTAGATGACTTAGGAATAGCAAAGGTCTTCTATGTCTGCTTCTTGGCTGAAAAATCCTAGAAAATATGGTGAAAGGGATCACATAAAACACATAGACTATTCTGAATTGGAAGTGACCCACTAGGATCATCAAACCCAACTCCTGTCCCTGCACAGGATAGCTGTGATAGCACTATGTGCCAAGCACATTGTCCAAATCCTTCTTGAATACTGGCAGGCTCGGTGCTGTGACCACTTCCCTGGAGAACCTGTTCCAGTGCTCAACAACTCTGTGGGTAAAGAACCTCTTGCTAATAGCCAATCTAAACCTCCCCTGACACAACTTAAGGCCATTTCCTCAGGTCCTGTCACTGGTTACCAGAGAGAAGAGACCTGGTGCCTGTCCCTCTACTTCCCCTCGTAAGGAAACTGTAGACTGTGATGAAGTCTCCTCTCAGTCTCCTTCTGTCCAGGCTGAACAAACCAAGTGACCTCAGCTACTCTTCATACGGCTTCCCCTCTAGACCCTTCACCATCTTCACCATCTTCATTGCCCACTTTTGGATGGTCTTTGATAGTTTAGTATCTCTCTTATATTGTGGCATCCGAAACTGCACACAAAATCCAAGGTGAGACCTCACCAGTGCAGAGCAGAGTGGGACAATCCCCTCCTTCGGCTGACTGATGATGCTTTGCCTGATGCCCCCAGGACACAGTTGACCCTCGCTGGCTGCCAGGGCACTGCTGACTCATATTCAACTTGACATCAGTCAGGCCCTTTACCAGCACTGCTCTCCAGCCTCTCGTTCCCCATTCTGTAGATACATCCAGGGTTGCCCCATCCTAGGTACAGAATCCTGTATTTGCCCTTGTTAAAAGAAGAGAACACATCTGGTTTTTCTGACCTCAACCTTAAAACTCTGCCAGAGCTGTACCTGAGCTAAAAATCAATGCTGGTGGTGATTTCCTGTCTAACATTGGCAGTTCAATTTAGCACTTGACTATATCTAACATTTTTCCTCATGTCCTCTGCTGCATCTCAGGTTTGTACTGAGGACTCAAGTTCTAAGGGAGGGTGAAAATAATTGTATTAGTGCTTTCTTTGTAGCTTGCTTGTTTATGATAGCACTAGAAGTTATTCCCCTCAGTCTTTATCTCTGCTAGATTGAGGAACTGTTCTTATTGCCCTCTTTTTCACATCCTCTTTACTAGACTTCTGATAATTTCCATTACTTCTACTTGATCCAGATTTCTCTTGAGCTGCAAGACTGAAAGCTGGACTAAGATGAGCTTTATTTGCATGGTTCCCAGCTCTGCAACTGGCACTGAGGTTCTTGGGTCTCTCCATGCACTGAAGATATCAGCAAGGTTGAATGGCAGGGGTTTCCTTTCCAGGAGAGGATCCTAACAGCTGAATGCTTCAGTGTTCAGCTCAGTGGTGCTGGAGTCTCTTGAGGCTGAAAGAGTAAAAGAATCAATTAGTGCAGAGAGATAAGTAAATATGACCAGCCACATTACTTATAAAATACCAGTGGAACAAATTATTTAGAAGCGTCTGTTACTAGGAACTAATTGAATACTGTGTAGGTTGGAATATATAAAGCAGAATGCAGCCAAGAATTAATGAAAGAGAGAATGAATTGGCATGTGGATCCCCTCATCTGTTGTCCTTCCAAAAATAGCCTGTTTCTAGGGCCAGGATGGGTAGGAGTAGAACGATGAAACAACTGGACACGCAAACAACCGTATGAGCATAATTATACAAAGAACAATGACAACATTGTTGAGTGGCTGTAGAGGGTTGCTACAACTCCCAGCAAGCCCTCTGGTGAATTGTGTGAGTAAAAGAAGGTGTTTCCATGTGTTTTGGCATTCAGTGATCATTGGTCACAATCCAACCCTTTCAACCCTTATTCTTCGGTTTGTAACAGTGATACTTTTGATGGCTGAATTTGAAATGTCAAGCGGCAAGATTATGCATGCAAATGCTGATATGCTTTTAGGGTCAAAATATGGGATTGGAGTCTCATCTCGGCCCAAATTTCAGTTTTCCTTGTGGTGACAGGGATAGGATGGATCTGTTCAGCTGTGGTCCCCAAGAAATGCACCACAGATATGGTTCACCTCCACTGCTGGAAAGGTGTTTCTCCTTTGTAGCAATAATATGCACATGGGCACTTGGAGTGGGGTGCTCATTTCAGCAAGAGCTTTCTGCCGACGTTGTGCACTACAGTGATAACAACAAAGTGAGTTTACCCTGGAACAGTCTGCTGGCTTGGAAGATGTAGTCTCATTAGTAAGTTCTGTGTCTTTATTCCACCCTGTTGGCACAGAAGCAGCATGGAGATCAAAATGAATGATAGATTATTGTAAAAATGCATAATTTCACTAAACCAGTAAATGTAAACAACTCCTCTTCTTAAATCCCCTTTGAGGATAAAGAAAGAAAATAAGCAATAAGAAGCATGCACGGATGGATGTTATTCTGATAGTAATGTATTGAAAATGCTAGAAGGATTGCTAATCACACAAAATTGTAAGCAGTGAGGTCACAAGGAAAGTACTGAACTGTAAAGGTTTTCCATTTGTGGGTTAGCTCAAAACTCTCTGATTTGACTAATGTATCACCAAAGGTGTTCTGTCTTGGACTAGGCAGTCTTGTTATCCATCATGTGTGTGATTTTGCTAGCACACTGGCACAATAGAAGATAGATGTACTGGAAGTAATAATTAGCAATTGGAAAGATGTTCCTTTGTTTTCTACACAGGGATAGAAAACAAATAAGAAATAACATACAGAGAAGTGGTTACTCTAAGAAATGTGTAGAGTTATGGTAGAATCAAAGCAATCTCTTAGGGACCGCTATTATTTTTATTTAAAGTTGAAAGTAAATCTTTTTGTTGGATGATAAACTAAGCATAATTCGGGAGAACCTGGAATGTGATGATTGTTTAATTGCTATAGTTACATGTGCATTTCCTGCTGAAACACGCTGCTGCAATATCATATATGGTTTTTCAGTTCTTGACCTAATAACGATACAAGTTTTTAAAAGGCCAGAATTTAAATGTGTAACTGCCATCTGAGTTTTAAGACAAACTGAAGCAGTGAAGACTAGCAGTGTTACTAGAATTGAATTTTCAGCTGTTACTCCAGCAAAAAGAGCATGGATGATAACTTTGAACCAATTATTTGGAGCCCTATCAAATTAAAACTCTGTGAAAGTGCTGGGAAGCCTGCAGTTTTGTCCTTGTCATAGAATAAAGTAGCTTAGCATCTCAGTTATTTGATGTTTTCCATTGTAGTCTTGTTAATTCATCCTTGAGCAAAACAGACTGATACTTTTTATCAAAAGGGGAAGAAGAACCATATATGAGGTGGATTTTTTTGTTTTTGAAAGATATTTTTTTCTTTGGTTAAAACAGGACCATTTTGTCACTGTTTAATTTTCTTTTTTTTTTTTTTAAATTTCTAGCTGATAAATTTAGACGAAAACTGGAAGAACTGGAGAAAGAGAAAAAATCTTTAAAATTTCAACTTCCTTCAAGGCATCCTTCAGTTAGCAGTTTTTTGGATAGATTCATTACCCAAGTTCAGGCAGCGTTGCGCTGGGCTGCTGATCATCGGTAAGTTTGTTGATTTATTATCTTGTAAAATGATGCTTCTGTTTTTCTCAAAATGCAGAATACACTTTATGAATAGTTTTAATAAAGAGTTTTAATTACCTTCTAACATATCAGTATGGAGCTTGTTTATGAAAATCCCACCCTGACACCCTTTTTTTTTCTTTCTGCAATTCTTTCAGAATTGCCATGAAAAACATTGATCATGATGAGCTGGCAAATTAAATGGAATGTTTCTCATTGATGTTGAGTGGGAATGGGATTGAATCCTTGACATGGCAGTTTGAGCGCACAACAGCAACGCAGCTTGAGCAGCGGTTCCCTGTGGAGTTGATTCTGGTGCTCCCTTTCAGGCAGTGAAAGGATATTTAAATATAAAGTAAAACCAGATTATTTTTTGATATGAATAGATCTTTGGGAGCTTCCTTTTGTATGCTACTTGTTAGGTGGCAGTATTGTGCTCAGAACTGTACAAAGTCACAAAAATAGATTCTCAACCTTGTCTTGAAGGGATAAGAGCTTCAAAGATTGGGGGAATGCGAGATGTGTTGGATGACCCAAGGGGGGTAGTTAACTTAGGAAAGAAAAAGTTGTCTCTATTTCTCATTCTGTCTTCATCTGTGCTCCTAGTTACTGTTGTTATAAGTAAGAGGATGCTTTATAGGTATTGAAAGCTATTCTCAAATGCAATAGCACAAATGAAAGAAGAAAAACCTTTTGTTTTCTGGCAGCTGGTACATATAAAGACTGCAGTGTGCTACTCAATACATTTGGGTGTAATTTTTGTAGACATGAAAATTAGATAAAATCAGTACAGATAATAGGATTTTTTTGGGTAAAATTTGAGAATTTGAAGTTATTTTTAGACTATTTATAGCATCTGCTAATGTGAGAGGTTTAAAACAAACTGCACTCCTTCAGAGCTGTTTCCTTCTACCTTCTGAGGCTCTAAGATGCTGTTTTATCATTCCCTTAAGATTAGGATACACAATTCTGTATTTTGTCATTAAGACGTGTTCACTCTGCATAAATTTGTAATAATGATTTTGGCTCTAGAGGTAGCGATGTCTTGGGTGTGATAGAAATTGAGTCACTAAAGCATCCTTCAGATACAAAGTCTACTTATTTTTGTCCCTATATAATATATATACAATGTTTTTATATATAAAATAGATGTTATATATATTTATGAAAGTGTTCTTGTTCTTTGTATGATTAGATCTGTAACTCCTCTCTTTGTACAGGTCTGAGAAGTACCATTCTTCAGGGTCAGATGAATATCCTCTTTTCTGTCTTGTGCACGCTCCTTTCTTTGAGCTTGAGTTTCACTATTGCTGTTGTGAATTTTTTTTTTTGTTTTGCTCATTTGATTCTTGTGACCTTTTATACTTCTTTGTCTGTGGTCTGACTCTCTTCTTGATACAGCAAGCATACACTTTGTCATCTGCAAAGAGTTTTAAGACTTTTCCAAAATTATTTTTAGATAGTACAGTGGAAAACATGACTGCTCCTTCAAGGAAAATTTGTAGGCTCCAGTTCTTATTTTAATTTTGAATTGGAACAAAACCACTATATCCAAGACTTCTTGTTTGGTTTTGTTGTTGTTTTTTAACCTGGAAAATTAAAAAGATGATCAGACTAGCCCCAGAAGACCAGATCATTACAGTTTCACTGGAGTTAAGCCATCTGATCTTTTTGCAATGTTCTAAAATGAAAAGTATGTATGGCAGGTTATTTGTTTAACGTACAAAGCTGAAATTCATGCCCTGGTTTTGTTTTACTTAATTAAATTGTGAGTTTTTAGGTGAATGCATCTGATGTTGACACAGGATATTGGGGGCAGAGTAGAAACCAGATTTGGTTATGTTTAGCTTAGGAAACCGCACTGTGTTCTTGCAGTCACCCAGATTTGATGAGATCAGAGAGATCTTGTTTCTGTTCCAAGTAGGCAGATATACATGGGATTTCCAAGAAGGTTCTGAGAATTTTTCCTACACTTGGATTGGCCACTTGGAAATTCATTACGTATCTCTGTAGAAAAGATGCAAGCTCCAACTGAAGGAAAGTGGCTTCAGAGCTGCTGGGACGTGTGGTTGGCTGGGTCCACAGGATAATTGTAATAATAATTGTAAGGCACAGTGATGGCCTTAAGCACCTCCCAATAGAGATGTCTCTTTGATCTGTGCAGTTATTACAGAAATACAGTTCCTGTCATTGTGTCTATTTTGCCTAATAATATTTTTTTTTCAGTGCCAAGGCTTTACTTTGTTTTTTCCAGTACCTTCTTCAGCCCGTAGACAGGGAGTAAAGCATACCTGTCTTTTGATGGTCCTGGAGAAGAGATGAGAACCTCTTGTTCTACAGGCTTGTTAAACAGCTATGAATGGAGATCATAATTGCATGATTAATCATGCTTAAACCAGACTTGTGATGCATGTTTTGTATGTGGCATGGATGTATTTGCTTTGCAAGATTACAGTGGGAAATCATACTTCAAAAACATCCTTTGTTTGAGACTATTTTTTAAGCAAGATACTGACATGCACCTGTACCCTTTACGTGGAAGTGCATGTACTTGTCTCTAGAGATGGATACAGAAGTGCACTTGGCCTTGCAAGTGCATGTGCCCTTAAGCAGGAACATGCAAGGCAAAATAGATTTGCTTTGTTTGCAGGTGCATTTTGAGAGGCTGATTACAGAATTGATACTTAACATAATTCACTGATTTCCTTGGGGTCCAGTCATGGAAAGATTTACAACTGGGGGTCGTACAGACCACTGTGAGGAAACCTACTGATGGCAATTTTGAAAGAACTCGCTGTGCAAGAGAGTGAGAAGTAAAATTAGGCGTCATGGAGCGAACACTCCAGATGATCTCTAATGTAGTCTCTAAAAGCTGACAGAAGCTGCAAAAATGGCTTTGGCAAGTTTCGAAACTTCTGTCTAAGAGAGATATTTTTCTGTATTGATAGAAACTAGATGCCTTAGTTTTGTCTCTTTCAAGACAGTGATGTATATAAATTTTTGAAATATGAAAAAGCTGGGGAAAGCCTGAAGCTACACAAGTTTTCCATTTTCTTTCTTCAGCATGTTGTAAAAACAGTGTAAATGTTTGAGATAACAAAGGAAGATATGCCAAGGAAAAAATCTCTCGTTCCCTAACTGTATCTGTTTAAGATGCATACATTCTGGTGATGGAGTGTTATGCCTCTAAAGGTAACATGTAGCATTCTGATCTGTTTAATCTTTGAGACATTGATACTTGTCGATAACACTAATTTTTAGCTTTTGTCATGTTTTTTTCAAAGGGTTAGACATGAAGAAAACGATCTTTGTCATGAAAAAGAACTTTTGAGATCAACTTACCAGGAGAGGATGCAGGTTTCAGCTACAAAACGAAGCCAGCTTCTTCAAGAAAAGAAACGGTTACAGGTAAATGGACTGCAGAGTTCTGTGTAAGAACCAGAACTGTGTGGGGAAAAGCTTGTAAGCTGTCACACAGAATTAAATAAATTTATTGTAGTAGCAACTTCGCTTCTGTGTTGCAATTAGAGCCTTGGCTGTAGTCCAGTTGATAATCTAAGTGATGATTGGAGATGGCAGCCACAGGAGTTGTGTTAATCTCATTACAGAGAAGCAGAGCTAGAAGACTTGGTGGCTTGTGTGCATGCTTAAACTTTCCTCATTATCTTTTTAAGTGTTCTCTTTATGTTATAATTTGCCATTTTAATATTAAACTGATCTTCGGAAGTTTGTTGGTTTTTTTAAGATAAAAAGTTTTCATCCGCTTCTGTTTAGAATTTACTATAAAGACATGAATTATCAGCTTTTATTCCTGAAAGATGATTGATGCTTTTCATAAGGATGAAGGAATCATCATGAGGCAGTCAGCATTTCCTAACAATAGCTTTATAGTGACACGTGATGTCACAATGTGGTAGCTTGGCAAATGAAATGCTTTTAAGATGGCTTCTGTCCAATTTTAAATCTGCAAGCCTTTTAAGCAAAATTTAGGTCTTTTTTTCCACTGTCCTTCAAAACTATGAGTTTACTATCTAGTTATGTGTCTTTTAGACCTTGGTGATCGTAGTTGGCAATGTGGCACCTTAGAAAGCTAGTAGACCAAATTTTCCTTTTTTTCTGTGCTTTTATCTTGCAATCTCTGTATGTTTTTTGATACTTTCATTGCTTTGCTGGATCCAATAGTATAATAAAATCTGTGTGTTTGTATACACACAAATATATATGTATATGTATGTATATTAAACCTGGAAAAAGAGAAAAGCACCATAGGTGATCATCACAAAGTCTTACTTAGCTGACAAAATATCTTTTCTATCCTAACCATCAACTCTGTATTGTTTAGATTTACTTCATCAACATATAAGAGTAGTTCAACAGTATCACTGTGCAAAAAACTGTTTTTTAATCTAGACATTGAGCAGCCACCTCAAGATGTTGAACTGAAAACTACTTTACTTGAAACTCCACAACAGCTAATGTTTTATCCTTGTTCCAGCTGAATCTTTATTTCTGTGTAGTTATTAGGGGAAAAATTAACTACATTCTTGTACAGGTATGCTATCTATTAGCATTTAATCAAAATTATTAGAAATTCAAGGTTTGGGAAAGACTAACCTGTGATGATTGGTTGTTCCCAGCACCCCTTAAGGATTGGTCCTACCCAAAATCTTGCATGATCAGAAATAATTTTTTTTCCCCCTCAACTCTGCTTTTCTTTACTTTCCCTTCTGCCCTCTTTCCTGGTGCTTCTGCATTTGCCTTTAGGGATTTGAAAACCTGTGACAGTATCTAAAATTTACATAATTATGTTTCTACTGCAATCTGTACTTCATGGAGAACACTGGCCTGTAAGTGAAGCTGGAGGTTTAGCATCAGTACTGATAAGCTGTGGTGTTAGAAATATTAGTTTAAACTCAAATCCACAGAATAAAACTCCAACTTATGTTTAGTGGGATGAATATTGTGTACTGCCCCATGGTGAGATTTCAAGTCCTTTTTATCTGTCCCTGGACGCTGACCAAGAGCACACTAAAGGCTTCTTGGCATTTCTAGAAAAGAACACGGGAGAATTCCAGTTTACTCACTAAAATTTCCACGCTCCCAAAAATGCCTGTGAACTATTCCCAGGCAGGGCAACTTTCTCTCTGTGAATGCAGATTGTGTGCTTCTACTATCTATTAATGTTGCAATAACGCTTTGGTACTAAAAGTGTGTGTTTATAAAACCAGATTCTGTTCATCTTCCATTCTGTTCCCATGTAGGTTGCTTATTGCAGTGATTGCAATTACTACTTTTTCACAGAATATGTAAGGTCTTTGTATTAAGTAGGGCCTATTAAGATTTTGGCAGTATTCCCAAACCAGTAATACTGACAGAATTGTCCTTTGTGCACACTAAAAGCCTAATTTGAGACTGAAAGAAACAAAACTGATGTTTTTTGGTCTGCTGACCTTTCTGTCCTTGACAAATGCCTGTGGGTTGAAACATGGGCCACAACATTCTCTTTTCGCTAAATCTAAAACCAAAAAAGGAGGGAAATAATTGATGAATCTGGTGTGCAGCACTGTTTATAAGTTGAAATTTTTGAGCCAGCCAGCCTTTGAATGTGCAAGGACTGTTTCTTCTTGTTTGAAGTGATACTGCAGAAGCTAGTTACAGTGCAGCAAACCTGAAAGTATGTTTGCTGACAAAATGAGCATTAATGAAGTAAACTTCACATAAACTACATTGAAAACATTAAAATAATGTTAAGGTTTCAAAGTGAAGCTCTGAAAAAGCAAAGAAATGCCAAAGTTAGTTATCTGTGCATGGTATGTATGTTTTTATGAGGCTGCCTTCCCTCCTCCACCCCCAGATCCCTGCCTCATACGTTGCTGAAGATGGAAAGTGTCTGTTCAGATATTCAGAATACTATTTTATATTCACTACTCAGTATTTGGTCCTAGAACCCCATTATTGTATGCCACTCAAACCCTATTTTGTATTCAAATTTATTAATTAATGAATGGACTCTTTTTGCAGTATTAATCAAAGTGACATCTTAGTGATTTAAAACAACTTAATTTTATCTGTGTAACCCCACTTCAAGTGAAGAGATACTCTTATTGCCATTTTAGAGATGGAGAATGAAGAAGAATTGCCATAAAAAGCCACACTGTTTCTAATGTCAGTTTTGTAATGCCTAGTTATTTAGCTGCTAAAGGTTGAGTTTTGGATTTGTGGTTTTATTTTTGTTTTTCATTTTATTTTTAGTCAGACTAAATGGGAACATGGAATTGAGCTTTGATTTCTGAAAGTCTGCATATGACCTGTCAGAGATGTCTCTGTTGTTAGAAAATGGTGGACACAGTCTGTGGCTGCGTGTGAAGATAATAGGTTAAGTGGCTTGCAATGTTTCACAGAGACTGTAAGAAATGTAGAAATAGAAGGAAATTCTTCAGTATGGCATTCAGCTAGTTTGATGACAAGTACTCCTTTCCCTCCCTACCCCCCTCCCCCCCCCAGATTTTATAATCACTTTTCAAATTCTGGGACAAATGAGCTGAGGGCTGTATATTAAATACCTTTGACTCAGCAACCCAGACTTCTTGAAGATGCAATCTATCTGTTGGGTTTTCAAGGAAAAACCTGTGCAAGGATGACATGCAAATTCATGAAGCTTTTTTTTTTTTTTTTTGGACCCCTCACTTCGAGGAAGACGTTAAGATGCTGGAGCATGTACAGAAAAAGGCAACTAAGCTAGTGAAGGGTCTAGAGTAAGTCATATGATGAGCAGTTGAGGGAGCTGGGGTTGTTTAACCTGGAGAAGCGGAGGCTCAGGGGAGTTCTCAGCACTCTCTACAACTATCTGAAAGGAGGCTGTAGCCAGGTGGAGGTTGACCTCTTCTCCCAGGCAGCTAGTGACAGGACAAGAGGAAATGGCCTCAACCTGCACCAGGAGAGACTCAGGTTGGCTATCAGGAAGAATTTCTTCACTGAAAGAGTGGTCAGGTATTGGAACGGGCTGCCCAGGGAGGTGCTGGACTCACCATCCCTGGAAGCATTCAAGAAACAACTGGACATGGCACTTAGTACTATGGTTTAGTTGACAAGGGAGTGTTCAGTCAAAGGTTGGACAGGGTGGTCCTAGGGGTCTTTTCTAACATTAATGATTGTACAAGTCTATGATTCTAAAAAATACAACGTGCTCTTGAAGAAACGTCAGTATCATAATACACAGAGTTTAAACTTCTAGCAAGATCGGTGCAACTGAGGTTGAAGTTCTGGCTGTTTCAAGGGAGGGATTTTGTGCTCTCAATTAAAATGAAGTGTTCATTATCAAAAGGGCTACCCAGTTAGTCAGTGTTTCTCCACTTGCATCCTGTGCCTGATGTTGGACTGGAAGCCTAGAGGAACCATTGCAGGGACATTCTGCAGGAGGACAGATCACTTCAATTGCCAGTCTGTAGAGTGAGATTCTGTTGTCATGGTTGAACTGAGATCTGGTTATTTGGTTTCTTTCCTGAAAGTTTTTAACTTGGGAAGTACCTGTGTATTCTAGAAGTAAAAGATGACTGACAGTGGGTGTTGGAAGAGAAACCTGGAATTTAGTGTTGAAAGAGGTGGTGAGTTTTCAGACTGTTGGAAGCACTGGAATTTCTAAATACAACCAACATAAGAATTTTGCATGTCAACAAAAGGATGTCTTCTTATTTAATGTTGTGCTAAGTTGGACAGGCTTAATTCGTGCTAACTCTTGAGACTTGCGCTGTGTTTGTTTTTTAGGGGCAGAAGAGTTTCTTTAGCAGGGTTCATGTAGTAAACTCTGGTTTCTGTTCTATGCAGAAAGAAATTGAAGACCTCCGAACAAGATTGACCATATTAGAAGCAAAAGATCAACAACTAAGAAGAGAAATTGAAGAACAAGACAGACTTATTCAGTCACAGGACTGTGAACTGACTGCTTTACTTGGCTGCATTTCTTTGAGAGAACTGCAGGAAATAAGCAAGGCTGTGGATGACACTTTAGCATCCTCCTATCAAATTCCATTCAGTCTAGATCTTCCAGGAACAATAAAGAGGTATCTAAATTTCAATTTAGATGTAGAGTCTTGTATCTTCCTCAATGTTCTGTTGAATTGGCTGTCAGTTGTTTTCTTCGTGATAGTGCCAGCTAATTAGCTGTATTCACACTCTAGAAAATTTTCCAAGAAGAGATGTTGAAATTCTAATATTGATGTACTTCTTCAGGAAGAGGTTGTAGTTATTTTGAAGCTCTTGCACTCTAGTATTTTTTTTTATGATAGACTCACCTATATAAAGCATATGCATCCATCAGTTGTTAATACCTATCATCAGTTTACACCATTTCTTCTTGTTAACCAGTGGCTCTTTTCCTCCCAGTTTGTTAATGCAGTGATTAAAACTTTTCTCACAACCTGAAAGTGTGTACTAGGCACCATTCAAATAAATATTAGAGATGCTTCTTGCTTCAGTAAAATCATAATCGTAATAAAGTCCAATGTGATGAGTATTAAGATGAGACCATGGACTTGAGGTAGTGGGGGAAAGGATGCAGCCTGAATACTTTTGGGACACCTGCAGTTACGTGCACAGCATATGGTTCCTTAAAAGGAAAAGTAACTACTCTTGGTAATGTTTTGGAAATAACCTCATCTTTATTTACAAAAGCAATAGAAACACTTGGGGCCTAGACTGTATTGGATGCTGGTGATGGGACTTTGAAAGTGATACTACTGCTGAGAAAATAAAACTCCTGTTTATCCTAACTTGCATTTCTCCCAGAGAGGCAATAACTATATTTCTTTTCTCCCTTCATGTTTATTGGGTTTAGTTTGATATTAACATTCATGAGAAATTGCTGCCCACCCCCAGCCTATGGGGGGTGAAGGGCAGAATGTTGGAGAGACAGTGCTGATGCTGTGCCAGCACTGCTCAGCAGTACCCAAAACACTGGTGTGTTATCAGCACCTTTCTAGCTACCAGTGCAAAGCACAGCACTGTGATGGCTACTAAGTTAGCTCCATCTCAGTTAGACACAATATAGGATGCAAAAATGCTCTTTTGGGCTGCATAGGTAAACATACTTCGGCATCTGTGAGAGCCTTTGGGAACAGTTTAAATCCCCTATTTCAGGTTATAGTTGGGTGTTTGTGTCAAACCGCAAAGCCTTTGCTGACCATAACTAAACGTAGCCTGCCTGGATCTGAACCTTCAGACTCAGAGTAAGCTCTTACAGGCCAAGGATTTCAGTGTCGTGGCTGGGAGAGTGCTCCATCACAGTTCTTAAACTGGGCCTTATTGTATCCAGGAATGCAAAAGCAGAAATCTAACAATAGGCCAACAGGCAGAGTAGTCTGGTTCTGGGAAAGTGGAGAGGTTTAATAATTATAGCACTCAACTAGATGAGAGAGAGGTTGTAGTTTTTGAGAGAGAGTTGGCAACAGTCCCTCAATTAAGTGCTAATGTTTTGATTTTGGAGTTGTTTTGTTTTCCTTCTTCACAATTTAAAAAGCAAAGTGAACTAGTAGGACCATGTCACAATCTGGCTGATGCAGCCTTTCAAAGGTACCACTTACTGTCTATTCAGCAGCTCCTCTCCTCTCTACAGGAGATGGTGGCTATCTCTGAATTAAAATCTGCTGGAGCATTGTATATGCTGTGTCTGTGACTATTGGAAAGTGCACAAGCTGTCTTGGGAGCACAGACTGAAATCTCTAGTCCAGCTGTGAGACTCAACCACTTGACTTTATGACTTGGATGCTTCCTTGCCTTTGATTCTCAAATCTCTTTCCCCAAACCATTTGCTATTTTAGGTAGCTGAAAGCATCCTGGCTTGGTGGTCAGCAGCCACATTTCCACCGTGGGCTCTCTGGTATTTCTTTCTTTCAGGGCAGGCTATATATTCAGAAGGGCTAAGGAGAAGAAAATGCCCTTGCAATGGCTGCAGTTATTTAACATTGAGAGTTTGTTCAGTTTAACAGTGAGTTTAAGTGACAGGTGGCTTCCTTATAAAGCTATGTAGTCCATCATATGTCAGGTACAGTAATCTTATGTCTGTATCCAGTTGTGTTCTGTTCTCTTTCTGTAAGATGAAAAAGCAGCATGCAGATAGTAAGACATTTGGTGTGGGTACATCTCCTTTGTGCCTGTGGGCATCCCCTACATTGTCATACAGTTCTAGAATAACTTAGGAGGCCATCTTGTTAAACCGCTCAAAGCAGGACCACAATTTCTAAATAAGGAAATAAAGACCCCTCAGGGGTCCATCTGCCCAAGGTTTGCATATCTTCAAGAACGGAGATTTTGCAGCCTTGCTAGGCATCCTACATTTCACCACCCTTGCTGTGAATTTTTCCTTTGTCTCATATCTAGCCAGAATTTCCATGGTTGCAACTTATTCTCTATCAGTAGTTCATGTGAAAGAAGTATAGTATATTAGGTAACAGGTTAAAATACTTGATTGATGCTAGTTCAGCATATTAGTTTTCAATTCCAAGGTCTTGGGATATTTGATCTTAAGGATATTTTTCTGGAAACATGCATTTTATTTTATGAATAATTGCTGGGAAAAAAAAAAAAAAAAGATTTTCCAAAGTTAGCTTTGTTTCTCACACAGATAGCTCTATTACTTATGAACATATACTAAAGATCAGTGTTTATGTGGAAAGTTGTTCAGCGTGGATGGGCTGTATGTTACGACCTCCTGGCTATTGGGTTGCAAGATACTATGTATTTGTTCTAACAGCGTTGTGCTAGTCAGTAAAGTACTGCTATGATTTGTTTTTGTATAATTATTTGCTGACCACATGAATTGCATTCAGCGTTGGAGTAACAAGGCAGGGCTAGTGCAAAGCACTCTTAAGACAAACTGTGCTATAATGAGTTTTATTCAGTGGCTTGCAGTTCACTATAACATAAAAATTATTTTGCTTCAATTAAATGCTATTAAATGCATCATATTGAAGCAAATTTCAAGAAACGTGAGAGAACATATTATTTGAAGAATAGTTGCCCAAATAGAAGTATGAAGAAAGAAGAGAGCGAGTCAATGTAACATTGGGATGAGCATTGTTTCTAAGTTTTCTTGTCAATTGTTATTTTTTCAGGAATATTCTTTGTTTTGTCTTATTTGTCTTTGGTATGTGATAAACTTTTTGAAAACAAAAAGCCTTTGTCAACAACTACAGCATGCTTTGAGTTTGGAGAATTCAGAAATGTTAGGCATGTTACCCTGGGACCTTTCTTGAGGGCTGTTGGAAGATGGGGTTAAAACCTGCTGGTTAATGGGCAAAGAAATATGTTTTGACAGGGAACTCTTATTGAGGTTGAGACCACAGAATGTGGTTGTTTTGCTCATCCAGACAGGCTTAATTGCTCTTGGTAAGCTAAAGGGTGTAATCATTTTTATAAAACGAGGAAATTGCAGGGCAAAAGCTCACTCACTTCCATGGGGTTGTGTGGAGATGTGTTTAAAAGGTGGGAGCCGCTGGTGTTGTGTGCACTCTGACACGTGCTCATGTTTTAACTAAAGGCAATGTACTGAAATCAGAGGAAAATGGGTACGAGTGTTTCAGCGTGAGGCACTCTCTCCTGGAGTTTGCAAAAACTATCAAAATATATAATTTCCTTTTTTGCTACTGAAGTGGGCACCATTTCAGAAATACATGTTTTTAACTAGCGTAAGTTGCATTTTCCAATTATAAAGTAAGACCATGTTAATTATTTGACTGACTTCAGTACTTCTTGTTTCCTTTGTTTGTTTTTGGTGTTTTTTTTTTTTTTTTTTTTCATTTCACAATAAAATCTGGGGAAATCTCTTATGCTTCAGTTTATATTTAGTTTCATTTAGTGTTTCCTATTTTTCATCCATATCTACAGATGCATGTGTCCATACAGCATGTTGTCCTTTAAAATAAATTGCAAAATTCCATCTGGACTATTGTTTGGGCACTGATTGCTGGCTGAAAGAAATTCAGTTAATTACCTTTCAAAATATTTGAATGTTCCACCTCTTCCACTTTTTGCATGAAATGATTTTTAATTAATAGGAATTTGTTCTACAGTGGGTGTGTGGGATTTCTGAAGATAGGCAAATTTTCTATTGATGTGTATTAATTGTTACAGTATGGCCAGCAGTGCATGGAACTGAACTTGAAGATTTATGTAGCCAGTTCACTCTGCTTTCATGATGCTTGGGGCTCATTTGAAAAAGATGAATTCGAAGTGAAATACAAATGCTCAGGAGGGTGTAAACTTTTTAGTTGGAATATACTCAAAGCATTCAGCAACTTCAGTTGAGGGCAAAGCCTGATACGGTGTGTTTTTTTTGGTTTACTTGGGAAAAGTTGGAAAAAATGGCTTTTATGTAGTTTCACGTAGTAATTTAGGAAAGTAGCATTTAGAATGGGCTGTTGTGCTTTGTGATTAGGAGAGACTGCTTGGTACAATTTTTGTTGATCTTAAATATATTCTAGTCAAATTAAAAGTTAGCAAGCTTCATGAAATTACTGAGTAAGCCTGAATGTAGCCATGTTTATTGATATCAGCCTTTCAACAAAAATCTTAACTTTAAAGTATCAAACCAAATTGCAATATATTCTTTCAAAAGGATATCTGTTATTTACTAGAAAACATGCAATCATATCCAGGAAAGTTCTTTTTTACTGTGTGCTTTGATTTTTAATTTGACTATTTCTGTGACAATGCCTACATATCAAAAATATCCTTTGGGAATAGAAGAGTAGCACAAATACAAAGAGCAGAGGGATGAAGTGGCTTTTTGGCATCTACCACAGTTGGAGCTTCATCATCAAGTAATAGGAATGAAGAAGAGAGAGCACCCAAGTCACCTCACTAGTTCAGTTATTTTAGCTTTGCAAGTCTACAGGAATTGAAAAACTGTTTGCATCAGATGAAGAAGTACTGTACATCACCAGAACTGCTGTGCAGAACTGCCCTCCCTGTTGTTCTCTTCTGTGCCAGTTGTAAGCTCTGGGCATGGGAACCTTCTGACAGCTTCAATTGATCCCCTAAGGTCTGTTGGGTTGACTTAATTTTC